ACGTTGCTTTCTCCGTCTGATGTGGTGCCCGTTGTCACCCACAAGCTCAACTCCCACCTTGGGGCTGATCCACCCTGCAGTGGGACCGTGCCCCATCCTCGCTGCCAGCCAAGTCTTAGTTCCACCAGCTTTTATGGACCAAGAGAGTGGAAAAGTTTCTAAAATCAAGGAGCCCAAAAGTCTCACCAAGAGCTGAATGGTAAATGTCAAAGGTCTTCTTGCACATTGAGCCTGTTTTCTGGGGTGCACGGATGACCACAGTGTATGGGGCTTTGCATGGGATGAAATGTCCTTGTCCTGTCTAAGTAAATACTCCCAAACACCCAATTAGGACAACCATACAGTATTTCCAAGCAAGCAGACCTGTCCGGCATATAAGCTATCTTACTGGAGAGTGCACCAGATACACCGTCGAACCCCATACTCTTTAGGTAGGAGGTACCTAGGTACAAGGTGCCCCTGAATTGAAGATCAGGGGGAAAGCCCTACCCTGGCGGGTTTAAAAGGAAGAGTCCTGTTTTTCACAGTGTTCATGAGCAGTTCCTCATTACATGGCCAGTATGGACTTTTTTTAGAGAGATCTATTTATTTCTAGTTAGATTTGTACTTTGACATCAACAAGTTTCAGAAAACAGAAGTGTCGTTACTTTGGCTTTGGTTTCTTGACTAAGAAATACTGTAGTTTATGTGGTAGAAATATGTGTAAGAGGCATATCCCTCAACAGAGGCCTCAGAAAAAAGTCTTGTTACTGAAAAACTACTGTGTTGCTTGTAAGAACGCTGTGGTTTGGGGTTTTGTTACTGCTTTTTATTTGCATTCGAGACCTGTGCTAGTATAACCTGTCCCTTTTTTCAGAATAGCTTTTATATTTACATACTATGTTCAACTCGTTTTGTTTTTGGTTTTTGTCTTGGTGTTCTTTCTTTATAACATTTAAAGCTAATGCTCCAAAAAAGATTTCACAAACCATGGTGGCGCAAACCGGTATCCATCCCAGTGGGTCACCTAAACTTACTGAAATAGCTAAAGAAGAATTCCCCCGTATTGTGTACTGGTTTTCGCTCTCTGTGTTTGTCCTTGCAGTTTTGTCTGCACAGTGATTTGTGCCTGCTGGAGACAGGAGCTATGCGCTGAGGCAGCACTCTGGGAGGATGCTGCGAGCTGGTTTGGGCAGCCAGGACTCGGGCACATCACCCCACTCCAGAGCCCATTCGTACCCCAGCTTGCAGTGTTGCCAGCACCTCTGTGTTTTGGGTTATTGGTTTTTAAAGCTCATCTAGGCTGTGTTTTCAGATGGTTAATTCCAGTAAACATTGTTTTCGGACCGAGGGTTTTTTTAGTGTTAGTAATAAATTACTGCTCCCTTCGGGTCCTCGCTTCAGTGGGAATCTTACTAAGTAAGAGGAGAGCTGTAAAATCTGATCTAATACTGTAATTGTGAGAGGGAAAAGTAGTATCTTCAGAATGAGGTATGGGAAAAAGATACTATACCCTGTTCTTGTGAATTGCTTGGCTGAGGTATTTTTAAGTCTGCTGGTAATCGAACAGCATGAGCATCTCCGTTTGCGCTTACAGGGGACTTTCTCTCAATCTGTGTTCTTTTCCAGGTGGTGCTTGGCAGTTTGCATTTAATGTGAAATTCTACCCTCCGGACCCTGCCCAGCTATCTGAAGATATTACCAGGTGTTTAAAACATTAAATACCTTTCTAGAAGGGGCTTAAAAGCTGTTCGTATTGGTGCTTGCACTCTAATTATCCAAGAAAAGGAAGGTTTTGTATTCCCATTGGCTTCCTTTCACTTACGAGCTTATGGAAAATATGCGATCCTTTGGCAGAAAAGACACTGTGAGCAGTGTCTATCCTTTGAGCTAAGAAGACTTTTCTATAATTTAACCCTTAAAGCCTACTTTTGTATAATTTAACCCTAAACCCCAGCTTTTCCAATATACATATTCCTGAGAGTTGATTTTAATTTTCACAAAGATTCCTGATGCCTATGTTTGCTACTGGAAACAAGTTGTTATTGTAAGTAAAATCATAACTATGAAAGGACAGAAGTGGGATGAGAATAAGCATGCATGTAAATTTTGTATGTCATTTGACGAGGCAAGCATTTGATGTGCACGATATAGGGAATATGGTGGTAATGAGTAGTTGCTCCCTGCTATCCAAGTCACTTAGCTCTGCAACCTACACTTCTCTGGTTTTGTATTCAGATTGCAACCACCACCAAAAAAAAAAAAAAAAAAAAATGCACCTGGTTTCGTCCTTGGTATAGGGCAGGAAAACTTCTGACCCATGATGAGTTTTGTGCCATCAGCAAGCTGTTCCCTAGCCTGTTACAGCATTTTGCAACCTGTGGATATTTTTAACCTTTGTTGCTTTGTGGACTACTTGTTGCTTTTAAGGTGACATGAAGCCTTTGGCTTAGATCAGAGGTCCCCTGTGCTAGGCACTGCGCAGAAAGACAGTGTGCCAAGAGTTCACGCTTCAGCAGAGGTCTTCCAAAAGAAACGAGTGCTTTTTTTCCTCTTGTCACCCTCAAAACTCCCCTGGGAACTCTATGCCTTCTCCACAAAGCCAACGCTCTTTACTTCTTTTTCCTGTTTTCTTCTATCTGGTGATCCCTTGCACTGTTTATCACCGTGGTTTTAACAGCATTTACTGTTTAAATGTATTTTTGAGAAAGCTCAACAGTTTGCTGAAGAGAAACTTAATTTTTTTTAATGGCTTGGAGTTCAGCTATCCTTTAATGAACAGCATTTGGGGGTTTTAATTATTTTTTTTCCTTAAAGAAAAGAATTATCAGGTAGCTATGTATCTTAGTGATTTATGATACAAACCTGGTACGTTTAATGGTTAATTCTATATCTAGGTCACTAAAAAAAGTAATAACCTGTTTTATTAAGAGATCTCCATGTTGCTTTATAAAGATAATTCAGGCGTTGCTAGACATAAGTTAGGCAAAGTTTTGTTGGTTTTTTTTTTTCACAATTATTACTATCCTTCGAAAAACTTTGGGTTTGGGAGTTGTCTGCAAATCAGAAGAACCGAGGCCTCTTGCCGGTGCTTGGGCGGTGCTCCTTTGGGTGCAGCGGTGGAGGAGCGCTTTCTGAGCCATCTTGGTGCTCTGTTGCAGGTACTACCTCTGCTTGCAGCTGAGAGATGACATCGTGTCGGGTCGGCTGCCCTGCTCGTTCGTCACCCTGGCCCTGTTGGGCTCCTACACCGTGCAGTCGGAGCTGGGCGACTATGACCCCGACGAGTACGGCAGCGACTATGTCAGCGAATTTCGTTTCGCGCCAAATCACACTAAAGAGCTGGAGGATAAAGTGATCGAGCTGCACAAGAGCCACAGGTAGGTGGGGGGCATCAGTGTGGTCTGTAGCCTGGTTTTGGCTACCATCCTGACGCATCAGGAAATGTTAAAACCTGCTGCAGTATACCCAATAAGAATATTTTTTTGACAAGACTCCTCCCCATGTCTTTGGTTAGAGAAGAGGTTTTCAGCATGAAAGACCAGGGGATCTGCACCAGAGCTTTGGCTCTGGTAGGTACCCAGCCATCTAAGGGGTCTGGCTGTAGTTCTGACAGGCTGAAGGTGTTTTCCAGGTGCTGGATTTTATTTCAGACTCTTGTTTCCTTAACATTGATGCTAGAATTGGTTGCTTTTCCTCAGGGGAATGACACCTGCAGAGGCTGAGATGCATTTCCTGGAGAATGCCAAAAAACTGTCAATGTATGGAGTAGATCTCCATCATGCCAAGGTACGTTCTTTCACCAGTCATCTTTCTCCCGTGGCATAGTACTTGAATCTGCATGGACTCCCTGTTTTATTCTTTCCTTTTGTTTTGAGATGGGCATTTTGTGGAAAAGTGACTTGTGGGATAAGCATGAATATATCTTTTAACTGTAATGTATCCTAGCCTATAGATTCAAAGATGTTGTGCATCAACATTCATTGCTGATTAAACAACCAAATCCTTTGGGAAAATATTGAATGGATGGATTAATGAGGAAGGATATTAGAAGCTGTCCAGAGAGTGATCAATTGTCATTTCATTCAGCTACATTTTCTGATTTAATAAGACCAACTGTGGTATCTTAACTAGATAAGGAGAACTTTTCTAACACTGCAGAGAACTTCCAAGCAATTATTTAGCCGTGTTGGAAACCTAATGAGATTGATAGTAATGGGGAGACAGCGGCTTGTCTCTCTTCGGAAGTGTGGCTGTTGCAGTTGACTGGAAGGGCAGTAATTCTGCTGGAAACATTCTCCCATGATGAAGTAGTTTCTCTAATCATAATAAAGTTAAGTTATGAATAAAACGTTGACATTCTTATTGTGGCTTGGGAGAGACATCCACCAGCCTTGTGTTGTGGGTTTTTTGGGGGGGTTATGTGTTGGGTTTTTTTTAAATAGAGAATTACTGGTTTTTTCTTCACTCTTCAAAGTAAGGCTAATGGAGTTTAACGTCTCTGAGGTTAGCAAGCATCCTTGGCAAATGAGTGCTGAACAAAGAATCCTGAGCTGTGGAGAGCACTGCATTTTCTGTAAAGGTCAAATTACTGTAAGCCTGTTTTTATGCTGCAGCAGATCTTTTCAAGAACCAAAATAAATCTGCAGCTCAGATCTTGAAAGGGCCTGCAACCGTGTCCCTGGGGCATTTCGTAGGAGCTGTGCATGTGTGTTACAGAATTCAAGGCAATCTTTTGTGTTCTGCTAATTGCCTTCACTGAAAATGAAAAATCTGGGTATGGCTCAACGGGCAGCGCTCTACCAGGAGGCATGCCGCTGCTTTCCCTGTGTCTGGCAGATAGGCACAAAATCTTGAGGCACATTTGGAGCAGAGATAGAAATGGATTGGCGAATGTCACTCAGTAGCTTTTTTTAAACATCCTTTGTCCAACACAAAGAAATCTGCAAAACAGCAGCAAAGTGAGTTCCTGTTCTAAGTATGTTACAGGCTTCATTACTGAAAATTTAACATAGCGTGGCTTTAGGGCCTAAGCATTTTTTTTCAGAATATTGGAGAAAGGCTGTAAAATTTAAGATGTGCTATCCTGAGATAACCTTCCTCCCCTCCCGCCCCCGCAAAAAAAGTATCATTATCCAGTTCTACTCTTCTCATTTTCTTATGGAAAGACTCAGAACAAGAGAAGTTGGTAGACGAGCTGATCCCTCTCTAAAGTGATGTTCTTAATTTAAAAAAAGCTGCAGTGCTAACCAAATTGGGTCTGTCTGTGGGTTAAGAAACCCAACAGTAATCTTGGAAACTGAGCTGCAAGTGGAAAAAGTAGACTCTGCGTGAGAAGTAATGTTTAGTTTCACCTGGGTCTGCCAGGGAGATCTGATGGTATCAGGGCTAGGGGACACGTATCTCTGGATGTCTTTTTGAAGTCACGCCGCGGCGGATGTGTCTATGTAAATGTCAATTCATTAAGGCTGTCCTGGTATCATAGGTATTCAACAGATGCTGGACTCGCCAGCTGCTGCTAAAACTAGTTCTCAATTATTCAACACAAGGTTACGATAAAAAATGTGTTCACATAGACAGATTTGTCCTCTGGGCTGTCACCGCTCTGATAAAACCTCCCATTCGTATGCAGAGCTGCAGGGATGTGCAGCTCGGCGTCTCGTGCCTCGGCTGTTACGGTTAACAGTTTTCTGTTCTGTGTAACCACATGGCTCCTGAAAAAAGCCAAAGCCTCCTCTTGGGTTTCATTTTACGCCGGTAGTATCCCATTGAAAAGCAGTCTCTGACACTGGCAAGTAAAAGAAGCCGTGAATGGACTTAGGTCTTCTGCAAAGGTGGGGATGAGGGAAGAAGGCATTTCTCAATGAGCTTTTGAGAAAGTATATCAAAAGGAGGAGCCCCGTGCACCTGCAGCTGTGTGCCATACGTGAGCACACATGCATTTCAGGCATTCGCCAGGCAGTGACTTTCTTTCTTAGAATGTATTCACTGTATTTAGACGTTACTCTTTGCTTAGGAAACTGTGAAACTGAAGTCCACTGAAAAAAATTAACTTGTCTCTTCTGTAGTACCTCACAATAATACCATGTGAGAGCTTTATTTAGGAAAAAATCTACCTTAAAGGTGATAAGAGGTGATACCATCGCTGTTGGAACATACATCCTTTATTGGTGTGTTTTCTAACACTGGAGTTACTGTGTGGCACTAACTGTATGTTGTGTCTCTGATTTTAAAACAATTTTTTTGTATTGCAAGCTGTACTGTAGCCTTTTCATCATGACTGACCATGCGTGCCTTTGTGTTCGTCTTAAAATATAATCAGATTTTCACTGTGTGCCTAAGAGATGGCTTGTTGGGAAAACCAGAGGAAAACAATGAATTCATTTCATGGTTATCGTAGGGTGACATCTTCATAGCTTCCGATGTCAGACTTCTGTAACTTTAAGTTATTTTAAAATAATTACCAGAGAACTCTGTGCTTTAAGGTGGATCCTTCTTTTCTCCAACAGTATTAGTACTTAGGTAAATGAAAAAAAAAAACTCCTAGAAAGAGTCCAGAGGAGAGCTACTAGGATGATAAAGGGACTGGAGCATCTCCCCTACGAGGAAAGGCTGAGAGAGTTGGGCTTGTTCAGCCTGAAGAAGAGAAGACTGAGAGGGGATCTCATCAACGCATACAAATATCTTAAGGGCGGAAGTCAAGAGGACGGAAGCAGTCTGTTTGCAGTGGTGTCCAGCGACAGGACTAGGGGCAATGGATGCAAACTGAAACACGAGAGGGTTCAGTTGAATATGAGGAAGAACTTCTTCACTCTGAGGGTGGCAGAGCACTGGAACAGGCTGCCCAGGGAGGTTGTGGAGTCTCCTTCTCTGGAGATATTCAAAGCCCGCCTGGATGAAGTCCTGTGTAGCATGCTCTAGGTGAACCTGCTTTAGCAGGGGGGTTGGACTAGATGATCTCCTGAGGTCCCTTCCAACCCTTACGATTCTGTAGTCGATTCTGAATGGACGTAGGTCTTCTGCAAAGGTGGGGATGAGGGAAGAAGGCATTTCTCAATGAGCTTTTGAGAAAGTATATCAAAAGGAGGAGCCCCGTGCACCTGCAGCTGTGTGCCGTACGTGAGCACACATGCATTTCAGGCATTTGCCAGGCAGTGACTTTCTTTCTTAGAATGTATTCACTGTATTTAGACGTTACTCTTTGCTTAGGAAACTGTGAAACTGAAGTCCACTGAAAAAAATTAACTTGTCTCTTCTGTAGTACCTCACAATAATACCATGTGAGAGCTTTATTTAGGAAAAAATCTACCTTAAAGGTGATAAGAGGTGATACCATCGCTGTTGGAACATACATCCTTTATTGGTGTGTTTTCTAACACTGGAGTTACTGTGTGGCACTAACTGTATGTTGTGTCTCTGATTTTAAAACAATTTTTTTGTATTGCAAGCTGTACTGTAGCCTTTTCATCATGACTGACCATGCGTGCCTTTGTGTTCGTCTTAAAATATAATCAGATTTTCACTGTGTGCCTAAGAGATGGCTTGTTGGGAAAACCAGAGGAAAACAATGAATTCATTTCATGGTTATCGTAGGGTGACATCTTCATAGCTTCCGATGTCAGACTTCTGTAACTTTAAGTTGTTTTAAAATAATTACCAGAGAACTCTGTGCTTTAAGGTGGATCCTTCTTTTCTCCAACAGTATTAGTACTTAGGTAAATGAAAAAAAAAAAACAGAATTGTAATGTTAGTGGTGATAGCAAAAGGTGAAGATTGGGTTCAGACTATTTCAAGGCGTCTAAAGGAAAGAGAAGTGTATACTTCTTACTTAAAAAATATGTAATTTGGGGTATATTCTGATAAGATTGTGGCCAAATCTTTTATAGTGCTAATGTGTCTGACTTACAGCTTTGCTGTCAAACATGGGCTATAGCACAGGCACAGTCACACACTTCAACAAGAATCCTTCTGGTCCAAATGCCCAACTTTCTGCCTGCTGGTCATTTCAAAGGGAAAATATTGAGCATAGGCAGAAGAGCATTAAAGAAACTAGCAACTTAACCAAAGCCAAGGCGAGAAAACTACAGAAGAAAAACCTATCTAAGGATTCACAAAGCTTAGTCATGGAGATGAGTGATGCCAGGAGAAGTAAATTTGTATGCTGTCCTACTTACTTTCAATCTGATATTTATGCTAATAACACTTCTTTTTATTATGCTAGCAAAATTTTGCTATATGGTTAATACCATTCTTTCTATAACGTCTAAAATTTTCCCCCTTCTTTTGGAGTCCTTCTAAAACGTAAGGAAACATTCACAACATTTGGTTTCTCACACCCTGCCCCAACCTTACTATTACTTATGCAGTCAGTGATGTAGGGTAGCTCTCAGAAATCAGGTCACTACAGCTGATGCATTAAAAAGACATAGCTCAGATAGAAACGCAGTATACAAGAATCTGTGGTGCTGTGGGATGTAAGGAGAGAAATACTCAACTAAGTGCATTGCTTGCTTTTCCAGGATTCTGAAGGAGTGGAAATCATGTTAGGAGTTTGTGCAAGTGGTCTCCTAATATATCGAGACAGACTCAGAATAAATAGATTTGCCTGGCCAAAGGTTCTGAAAATTTCCTACAAGAGGAACAACTTCTACATCAAAATCCGACCAGGGGAGGTAAGGGCATCCTGACACCTTTGGTGAGTGAACCTTTTAAAAAAAGCCATGTTCTCATGGATTTGTTGATTTGTCATGTCTTACAAGCCTTTAACATTCCTCTCCATTTATATTTTTTAATTTGCTGATTTTCTTAGGAAAAATTAGGCAAATACTTTTATTTAAAATACAGGTAAAATCTTCTTTGGTGGTTTTTTGTTTACAACCGTGAACTAACATAAGGAGTAAATATGGCCATCTGCATGTAAAAAGCTCATCCATATTATGAATTGGGAATTTAAGTAACATATTGCTTATTTATGGAGTGCTTGTCATCCACCATCATGTTGTATATTAAATTAGTGTCTGTTCATCTTACCCACTAAGAGATGTAGACAGGCCATACCAAATTTAGTAAGTGTACCAGACTGTCAATTTGGAGTCTGAGTAGAAATCTGGAGACTGATAAAAATGGAGTCAAGGATCCATCATTCAGCATTTTTGGTAGCTACACGCATTAGCCCTCCCAGGCCCCCAGGAGCCCATGTTCTGACTCTAAAGAAGGGGATGTGAAATCTCATACAGTGAGTGCCCTCTCGTGGCTCAGCTGGATGCACAGCAAATACCTGCCTCATGGGTTGAGTGGGCACCAACCCAGAAATGAGGTGATGAAACTTAGCAAAACTCCCAGGAGGAGTTCAGGATCATCAGAGGCCTTTCAGTACCTAAAGGGGGCCTATAGGAAAGATGGGGAAAATCTTTTTAGTAGGGCCAGCTGTGACAAGACAAGGGGTAATGGTTTTAAACTAAACCAGGGTAGGTTTAGACTAGATATAAGGAAGAAGTTCTTTACAATGAGGGTGGTGAAACACTGGAACAGGTTGCCCAGAGAGGTGGTGGAGGCCCCATCCCTGGAAACTTTCAAGACCAGGTTGGACGGGGCTCTGAGCAACCTGATCCAGTTAAAGATGTCCCTGCTCACTGCAGAGGGGTTGGACTAGATGACCTCTAGGGGTCCCTTCCAACCCAAAACATTCTATGATTCTATGATTCTATGATTCTATATGTCTCCATTTTAAGTGCTGGTACAATAATCGGTCTGCGGTAGTTGAAAAACCTATACCCATTTTAGAGGGTGGAGCTGTATAGCAGGACAGAAATCACCTGGATGAGGACTGGCATTTCTCCCGTAGTGCCATATGGCAGTCGGGAGCCCCGAGCCAATGTCTCCAGTAACGGCTTCATAAGTGACCTGGGAAATCTGCTGGGGCCCCCCACCGGCCCCAGGGCCTGAGCCTTTATTTTAGAGTCCTAAAACAAAATCCACAAACCTACATCTCCTGCCTCTCAGCAGAAAGTTTTAGTAACCAACTTGCCAGTCTTGAGTTTGATTTTAAAAAAAAAAAATGCTAATAGCCACTGATGTCCCCAGTGCCTGCACTCAAGCTCTCCTACTGAGCTCTGCTGGGCTTGGTACGCAGCGTCCTGCGACCAGGTCGTAGTTCCTTATGGAAAATAATCGATGCAGCCTCTTTCCAAATCACAGTCGATGATAATGTGATCACCATCCCGTGCGTCGCTTATATCATCTTTATTGTTTTGCTGTTTCCTGCCTTGTTTCTCTCTGTCAGCTCCCCATAGGGATCCAGGCTTCCTTGCAAGTGCCCTTCTGCCTGCCTCTCCCCGACCACAGCAACACTATTTCACCTCTCAGCTACCTGCATGTAGCCCTCAACTTCTTAACAGCGCTTGTAGCTGGCACAGCTTTTCCATCTGGAATATATAAATCCACAGCACAACCTAGAAAGGTCTCTCAGTATCCCCAGCCAACTCTGTTCAATTACCTGTCTTTTGCTCACCCTCCCCAGGAGATAAATCAGCTAAAAACACTGTGATTTACTAACTGTAGTTCTTTCACTGTAGATCTCCTTAATCTAAGACTGTGAGACCCAGTCAGTCTCTGGGGACTAGTGCTCCCCTCCTGGCTATTATTAGGCTTCCCACTGTTGTTTAAACCAGTGAAGTTGAAACAACAGGGTTAAAACACTTAAATGATGTTTTCCTCAGAAGTCTCCCAAGTCTTAACTGATCTCTTTGTTACTGTAGGGCATAAAGCATCACTGTCACCATCGAAAGCCTCTTGCTCATTATCTGGGTTTCCCCCCAAAAACAGTCCCCAGAGCTTGCCGTTGATTATCATTCACAGCTCCCTTCCCAGACAGTAGTCTGTAGAATATGTATATATGTGGTTATATACATGAGCATATACATCCACCCTTGCAATGAGATGATATAGACGGAGGAAATGGGGATGAACCCGTGTACGCTGTCTAAAAATAAATGCGCAGCATCAAATACATACTTTTTCTTTTTTTCCTACCTAGTTTGAGCAGTTTGAAAGCACTATTGGGTTTAAGTTGCCAAATCATCGTGCTGCAAAGCGTTTATGGAAAGTGTGTGTTGAGCACCATACATTTTTCAGGTATGTGGATTTTTTTTCCTAAAGGTGTGATACAAAATGCAACAGAAAAGACCAATTCTGTCAGCAGAGACCAAGCCCTTCAAATCAAATTGCCTTATCACGACATATCTCTGAGCAGACAGGGGACTGTTACAGCTTCTTCAAAATTTGAAGTGTTTCACCCAAATTATTCATACTATTTCAGATAGATACTGAATGTTTAAAATCACCATATGGTCCCAATTAATCATTTTGCTTTATCTGTGCCATGATATTATCAGCCGCTATAATTAAAGAGACGAAGGACTCTGCTGCACTTCTGCACATACGCTTATATAAGGAGAACAACTTATATGGAAAGTTACTGGGGGATGTGGGTAAGAGGTTTTAAAAAAAAAAAAAAAAACCAGGAGATTTTTATTTAATGACATATGAAGATACAGACAGCAGTCGGTGGTGTATTTTTTGGTTACCCAGAATACCCAATCCACAGCTGAAGTTTTTGTGTGACTGAGGAATTTTGCAGCTATGTTTCTGACATCTAAGAAGACCTAAGAAAAGTTTGGAATAGTGGAATAAATGCTGTGATTAGTTTGGGCTGAGATAATCAGCAAAGAGCCTAACAGTGGAAACACAAAGGGGTGAGATTTTCAGTGATGTGAAAGGGTGTCCAGCGCTTAAAAACCCCTCTCAAGATGTTTGGGAGGACTGAAGAATTTCTCTCCTTTCTTAAAACTATCGATTCAGGCTGTCTGTACGTTCATATGAAACACAGTCTTAGCAGCAAAAGATCTAAAAAGAAAGGGACTGTGCATTTTTGGCGTGTTTTCTGATTTTTCATGGAAAATCGATGTCTAAAGCGTAAACTCCATAGCAGGAGAATGGCTTCTTCGGCAAACTCCCATAGCCAAAATACAGAGGGTGGGAAGGCTCTAACCTGAAAAATGCCTGCGTTCTTGTGAATGAATACTGCCCAGCATTCACTGGAAATCTGTTCTGGCCCTGTCCTCAGCACAGCAGCACCGTGTTAAATTTGAAGTCTAAGAGATATATCTGTATTTCAGCCCAGAACACCTTATTTTTAATTTTGGTGGTTAGAAAATAATAAATCTGATTGTCAGGCAGGCAGGGACTGAGTGATTCTTGCCCGTTAGGAAGAAGTCAGCCCTTTAAATGCATTAGCTGAGCTGTTTTGTCATGCTGTATGAGGGGCATCCTTTGGTTCCCTTTTAGCCGCAGACCCGTGAGGCACAGGTTATGATGGAGAGTGATACCCAACAGCCGTCTTCTCTCCTCTGCAGAAATAGTGGACTGATTTTTGGAGGAGGGGGAGTAATGGGTGCGCTGCTTGATGTGTTTTAGGCTCCTGCTGCCAGAAGCACCTCCAAAGAAGTTCCTCACACTGGGCTCCAAGTTTCGCTACAGCGGCCGGACGCAGGCCCAGACGAGAAGAGCCAGCGCCCTCATAGACCGTCCCGCACCTTACTTTGAGCGGTCTTCTAGTAAACGTTACACTATGTCTCGCAGTTTAGATGGGGGTAAGGTCCTCTCGGTTGGCTTTGTCAAAAGTTATCATCACGCTGGTCACTGCTTTAGATTAGGTATAAACCTCTTGTCATCTCATCTCCTCGAGCTTCGGCTGAGTGGAGGCTGTGGGTACCTGCACGTTCACTGCAGGGGTAAGGGAAGGTGCAAAGAAATACCATGCTAAATGTACCGCTGTGGTCCTTACAAAGCGTTTTCCTGGAGGAGGTCCTTGGGAGTCCACTCTTTGTGGAGCCCCTCTCCTTGGCCTCACACCTGCAAAGCACTTCCCTGCTTTGGGGAAGGACGGGGGCGCCTGGACCTGCCTGCCCCAGCAAGTCAGGCTTCAACGCTTTTTCAGGGCTTGCATGAGTTAACTGTTTGGGTTTTGGTTTATCTTGGTTTATCTTTATCTTTTTTTCCTATGTAGGTTTTTCATTTAAGTATATGTTACAATTCATAAATGAATTATTTCCCTTGATCAAATAACACTTGCTTTCGATTACCTCACATCCTAGTCAGAGGAGCGCTAACAGGCTTTTCCCATACGTTACTTTTGAAGGTGTGAGATGGAGAGTGGCACGTTTATAGTATGTCCTTCTTCCTCCTCTCTTTCTCCGTGGTTCATGGAGGTCACAGTCCTGCTGCTCCCTTAGGTTAAACCAGTGTGTGATTCGGCGTCTCAGCACTTCATCAGCTGTTACTGTTGTCAGCTATTGAGTAAAAAGAGGTTGTAGTTAATTTTTGTAGAAAAAAAGACTGTGGCTAAATTTAGAATTGCTACAGTTTTAAAAAAAAAAAAGGTGAATTCTCCCACAGAGTATCACAAATGAATTGCAATGAATAGAGCTGATGGTGGGGAGGGAGAGAAGCTTTGATTTAAAAGTCCTAGTGACAAGCCTTCTTTTCTCCCCCTAAAGGTGCTGCTTGTCATTAATTATTTTGGAATCTTCTAATTCTGATGTGCTGCTTGCTCATACCAAGCAACTGGTGACCTGATTGCCGTGCATGTGTCTCAAAGCAGAAACGATCCTTCTGCCTTGTTTTGTTTGTAACATCTAAACAAGATGTCTCCCCCTACTCCCTTTGCTTTCGCCTGCCTCCTAAGCTTGTTCCCAAGAGACAAGATATCTGAAACGCTTTTCCCCAGCATTTGTTAGACTCTGCGAGGTTTTTATGATGTTAATTTGCATAAGTGCAAACGGGGAAAAGAGGTTTTTTAATCAATGCTTATGATTTCTTCACTAACGTTGTTACTATAACACAGATGTGGCTGTAACATTCTGCATTGCGATTACACTGTGATCCCAGCCCTGTCATTTGTTACAGGTGCAAGTAACTTTATAAATTTGGATAGTCCTATTGACTTAGAAATTAGTCACACAATAGTCAAGAGCAGGGTCTGGGTATATTATTAATGTTTTGATAATACTCTATCTGTAAATTTACTATTTATTTCAAAATAATTCATATATATTTCAGTTTGCTGAATTATCGAGCATTTACATCCTGAAATATTCTGTTTCGGTCCACTGAATTGAATGCCATCACTTCCCAGAATTTTTTAGGATAATCAGCTCACTTAACCAGCAGACTTTTAATACTTGGTAATACAAAGATCCCATTTCTCGATTCTCAGGTGTTACACCTGTGTTACATCAATATTGTCATTTCCTATAATGCAGTACGTTATTTACCATGCATTTGATCTGCATCTTCATATCCTGACAGATTTCCAAAAAAATCTCTTGCACCCCCATGGCTGATGCCATAGCTGGTTCTTCTTCTTGTGTTTCCTGCCTGATAACAGTTGGCAACGCATTGATTTTTTTCTGATGTTTTACTACAGTAGCACTTTTAATGGCTTGCTAACATTTAACAACTGTGTAATGCACACATTAGCTACAGTAATGTGTGTATACACGTCCATAATATATGTTTATGCATATAAAAGCTACAGGCTTTATTTCGAGTAAACAGTTTATTTAAATGTATGCACATGCTTCTGGTTTCCTGAAGCATGACATCGTTGTGTTTTCAGCAATATCTCAAATGTTTTACTAACCCAGCTTTTTAATTTTATGCAGCTTCTCAGCAAAAGCTATTTCAGACTTTCCCTCTTTAAATATTTGCTTTTAGCATCAGTGAATGAAAACCATGAAATGTACATGAAGGATTCTGTGTCTGCTGCAGAGGTTGGTACTGGCCAGTACGCCACAACAAAGGGCATCTCTCAGACCAACTTGATAACCACTGTGACTCCAGAGAAAAAGGCAGAAGAAGAGAAAGATGATGAAGAGGGCAAAAAGAAAAGAGCAGAGGAAGTCACCCCGGTCTCGGCAATACGCCATGACACCAAGGTAGAGTTTTCAGGTTTTTGTATTAAACTGACCTGCCTGGAGAGTGCTCGGAGGAACGTGGGATTGTTAGGGAGGGAGGAGATACCTCGTTCCGTGAAAGGAAGATAGAATATACACGGTTGTATGTACGTGTTTATACGTGTCTTCAAGCAATGTTTTTATAGTCCTTTCGCATTTCATATGAAGTTGTAAACGTCAGTTCCTGCCTCAGACTGTTTTTTGAAATCCATTTAACAGTCAGCACAGTGTTTTTTACATAGCAGCAAGAGCTCCTTAGGAAATATCCAAAAAATAGCCTAGCAGTGCATGTTTTGTTCCTTTGGGCTTCAGTCTTATTTTGACTTCAGTATGGGTGTAATTTTTTTTTTTTTTGACAAGGCAACAAAATAGTTCTGTGTTCTTGTATGTAGCTCTGTGCTTTGAACTATCGTATTTTTCTCATTTACTTCTCGTAACACTGTTTCCTTGCATGTGTTTCAATGAGCATTTTTCTCTGTTAACTTTTGGGTATTAATATGTTATTATAAGCTTTTTCTTTCTGGCTTACAAAAGCATTTGCTTCCCTCTTTTGAAGTTTTGCATTGAAGAAAACTGTTATTGTTGAGGATTCTCTGCTCGGTTGTTAAATTTGATTCATCCCCCACCATCTCCAGTTCCACCATGACCACATACACATACATACATGGCTGTGCATTATATCTACTGAGTTATTAAGACAGGGTAAATCAAACGGGGACAGAGAAGATCCTGAATTTCAGAGCTTGGCAGTGAAGAGAAGTAAGGTACAATCAGAAAAGAACAGGTGTAAAATGTCCTCTCTTTCTTTTACATTGAGGAGAAGAAAACAGAATATCAAATATTGAATCTAGGATACCATTCAAAAACTGTACTATGGAATGCACTTGCTAAACAAGTAAGATTTACCCTCTTAATTTACGAGGAAAAAACGTCATGTATACCTTTACACCAACAAAACTGTCATGCATGCAAATGTTAGAACCTGAACTTCTAGCCTTAGCATATAAGGCCACTATGAACTACATAGCTAAAGGATCAAGTCCTCAAAAAGACCTGCAATTAAAGGACCAAAAATCAGAAACAAAACACTGAAAATTGCAGCTGAGAAAGGATTTTCTTTTGAAAGCGTGGACTGTAATTGGAGCATTAAAAAAATCATCTCTGTAAGATTTAAGTGGGGTCTTTTGAAACTTCATTAGTTTCTGCATGGAGAAACATTGATGAAAATCAAATATGCAGTAAATATCCAATAGAAACTAACTCCATTCCCAGTGTTTGTTAATTTAGGTCAATGGAGAGATCAGCTGCATTTCGAAGATCATTTGCTCCTTATATATGGCTAGGAATAGTCAAAGACATTTTTAGGAGAATATTCTGATGGCACTTAAACATGCACAAACAAATGGTTTTTATCCCCCCCCCCCCCCCCCTCCTCCCAAGAGGTGGGTTCTGTTTAAGCCACCCGCTAACAGAGCTTCAGTTCTGTAAGCCCACAGAGATCTCAGTCCTGCTTCCACTGGACCTGCTGACACTTTCATCATTCATTGTAAAGAAAACTGGGTCTCAAGAAACACAGGACAAATTTGAAATCAAATTCCTATTTAAGGGTAGAGAGATTTTATAGGCAGGTTTCAACTTCTCCACTAAGACATTTTTCCTTTGTTTTATCCATATGTATTTAAGTACCAGACGTTATTCTAAATATTAACACTGCAAAGATGTCAATAAGTGAATAGTCTATTTGCGAAGAATAAATTTACTTTAGCTTTTTTGCCTTTACGATATAAAGAGAAGTTCTGTGTATTCAGCTCACATAAAGTCCTGTGAGTCCATCAGCATTAAATTTTGACTTGAGCTTACTGCATTAAGCCCATAAAGAAGATATTCACAAGCAGTTTGAAGTTAGGCTTGATTTTGGTTGTTTAATTCAGGAATACAAATTGCCTGACCTGATAGATGGGGGTTTTTAACAGTTCTGGTTAGAGAAGAGAGAGAAGCAGAATATTAAGGGGAGGGGAAGGAGCTCTTCCGTGTTAATACTGGGCTTAAATCACATTCCTACTGTTAATATACCTGCTAAAGATTAGGCTTAGTGTCTAAGTCCTGCTTGTTGGCTCCGATTTGGCACCAGCTTGTACAGGCAAATGCTGTTTTGGCTTTGAAGTCATTCTGCTCTGGGGAGCTGGGAGTGGCGGTGGGAGTGCAGTGCCTGTTGTAGCTCCTCGGGGAGATGCGTGGTGGATGGAGCACTTAGCGTTTGGTCATGGAGCCAGCGTGCCACTTTAGCTAAGTGCGCCTGGTTGACTTTGGCCAAAACATCTCTGGTTGACTTTGGCCAAAACGTCTCTGATCCATTGGCGTTGCGGCAGGTCTGCTGTACCTGGGTATTTTGGTGGCGATGGCTGTTGTTGTCTTTCTAAAGAGCAGTTGTGGCTGCCAGCAGGGAGCCTCCTCTCAGTTTTTTGTCCTTGAATGACCTTAAAGACTGGTTGAATGCCCTACCCAAAGCGGCATATTAAAGTAAATCCTGCTTATTGGTAGCCAGTGTTCTTTGCATTGTGGTAGAATTTGTAGCAAAGGTATTGGGTGCATTTTTACCTCTTTGCTATGGGCAAAGAGTCACTTTTCAACTATGAGGAGATGCAGCTGTGTGGGGCACAGGCCTCTCTCTGGTCAGCCCCCCTTCAGATCCCCAGCAAGAGAGCAGGGGGTCTGCCTAGCCAAAACGCTCAGCCCCCTTCTTTCAATGCACTGCCAAAGTGGTGGGGTGCAGCGTAGTGGGGGGCAGTGGGGCGCATGGCTGGGAGGGGACCGGCCCCCGGCGCTGCCTGCTCCAGCTCGCAGCGGGCAGAGGGTGAGGGTAGGGCTGCGGGGACACCCGGCGGAGGCCAGCCTGGGCGGGGATGGGAGCTGTGCTGAGGAGCTGGCTGCCGGGGTAGGTATCGAGCTAGTACAGTTTTTTCCATCGGAAATGGTTGATACATGGATTTGTGCCCCCCCACCTTCCCCCAAATTAGAATGTGTTTTATTTAGGTTTAGAACATAGCTTTTTTTTTTTTTTTTTAATGGAGGAATTTGGGCACGTAGAGTTTTAAAATCTTCAGGGTTTTAATTATTGCTGCTGAGGTTGGTTCTCCAAGGCATAGATGGGAAGCATCTGGC